AATAATTTTATAATTCTGCATGTTCAACACGTACGTGAATAGAAAAGAGAATACGAGTACTTATACATATACATAGTTTCTTGGACATAATGGTAATGATAAACAATTTGGAGTTTTCTTGAAATTCTAAATACATATTACGAGTAATAATTAACTCAATCAAAAATAAAGCAAAAACAAGAAATGCTTGAGCTAATTATTTCACATATGTAATTGCCATTATTATTTTCTCTTCAATTGAAAAGTTAAAATCAAGTTAGATAATAATGCTAGTTAATTTTGCCTTTTACCAATTCTAAGTATACTTTTTGGTTTAAATTTTACTAAATTATTAACATTTTGAATTTCAAATTAAATTAAAACAATCAAACGGCCACCAATCATTGTCTGGAATTTTATTTCAATTTCAATTTAAATATGGACCACCATTGATAATAATTTCCCAAATAAATAAATCCCAAATGAACCAAATGAATATCGTTGATACATACTTTTTTTTAATTTGAAAAATTTTCTAGAATTTCAGTCATAAAACCCCAGAACCGAGATATTTTTCCATTTTTAAGTGAGAAGTGAAACATTTTTCTCTACATTTGAATGATAAGTTTTTCATATATGTACATGCATATGTATGTATAATAATATAAAATAAATGATTTCTTTTTAATATTCCCGATAATTTGTTTATATATAGGATTTGAAACATAAGAAATTTTCTTTTAAAAACGGATTTCTGGGAAAAAAGAATTATGACTAGCTGTCAAAAAAAAGCCTGAATCTCATTTTCAGATGAAATTCACAGAAAATAAACACAATGTTAGAATTTATCTTTTTTGTATGCCCCATAAAAATTTTAATATATTTAATACACGATTCGTTTCACATAATATTAATGTAGGTATGTATGTAGATATTATGTATGCGAAATTAAATTTCATAATCATCTGCAATGCCATAATAATATTTTAAAATAAGTAAATTTCTTAAATTTTATTTCGTTAATTTTGTGAAACTAGAAATTAATTAAACATTCCAGCAAAAAAGAAATTGAAAATTGTGAAAATTCTTTAGGAATAATTTAAAAAAAAATTCTCAAATAGAAATTTGAATTTGTTATTCTTCCTTTTTCCAGAAATATGAGTCCAATATAGGAAAACTTTAAATTTTAATAAATTTTTGTTTTAAAATACCTATATCATTTGGTTATTTAGCTCACATATTTCTCGTTTAAGAACTTGAAACTTTTATTGAAATCTTGAAGAACTTCGAATATTCAGAAGTATTTGAAATTTAGAACAATTTTGAAAAAAATTATTTGGTTAAAATTTATGCATTACTTTTTGAAGCCTAAGATTTTTGTAATTCTTAAAATTTTGAAATCTGTATATATTATTTAATTTGCTTTAATTTTATTTGATGACGACTGCATTTCATTTACTGAACATTGCTTTCTTTTTTGTCCTGCATGATACTGTAGACAACCGTCAACCAGTTTCTTATGCCATTGAGTTTATTAAGTAGGTGGAGTCATTGAATTAAATATTTAAGGCTATTGATATTTACTATTTTATTTTGTTGGTATATTTTGTATAGGATATTGTTGAAATATGGCAATTAGTTAATATTAATTTTTTATATTTATATGTAATAGGGCTATATAATATTGAATATAATTTTTATAGTGACCTGACTGGGCTCAAGACCCAGGACTCTGCAGTTAAAGGGTCAGTGCAATAACCACTGCATCATTGGTCAGAACATTGTTTAGTATATTAAAAAACCTGTTATACAGTATTTGGTGAAAATTTCTCTAAGAATTGTAAAGCATTGTTATTATTTTTTCCTTTTATAAAATAATTGCGATTTTCATTCCTATTACATATCCACATACGAATAAAGAAAGCCAACATGTTATGTGATGGAATTAAACAATTAAAAACCCAGAGTAGAATTAAATTTTTTGTTAAAAGTTTTGTTGAAACTTCTTGTTTTTAATAATATTTAAGCTGCAATAAAGTGAAACAATAATTTCAAAAAATAATACTTTTTCATATTTTTATAAAATAAAGTTTATTTTCCAAATTATATTAATAATTTTTAATGAATTTTTTTTATCTGTTAATCTCATCCATATTGGAAAATCAGCATTAATTAATTGAAACGATCAATTTATTTATAATTTTGAATTCAATTGAAACTTTTAACTGAACTTCCAACAACGTTTCAATTAATTAACCTATTTTATATTTCTTAAGATCTATAATACAGAAAATAGTCAAATAAAATAGTTGTTATATAGAAAATAACTTTAATCTCATTAACATAAACATCTGAAATAATTTACTAATTTCATTAAATTAAAAAATATATTATTGAAATAAAATGCAAATTAACCTTCTTAACAATCTGAATATAAAAAAAAAATCTAATCAAAATATTTTATTAAATTTAAAATAAAATTATGCAAATTTTATTATTAGATTAAAATTTCGATTGAAATATTCATTATTATCAACGTTGCTTTAATTCGCTTAATTTTCATTCTTTTATTTTTAATTCTTTATACCAATAATATGATATCCTTTAATATTATAATATGTCAGATCCTTTATAACAAAATTAAAATCGAACAGAATTGATATTATTGTATATTCAATATCAATATATCTATAATATAATATTGTACATAATTATACAACAACACAATTATAAATATATTATAAGAAGAATATGAAAAAAAAAATATTTATTTCGATGTGTTTTTTTCGATTTAAAAGTAATTTTACAATATAAGCTCGAAGGCAAACACAAAGCAAAACAAAATTAATAAAAAATTAATGATGATAAAAAATGTTTATTAAAAAATAAAATCAAATGAGTAATGAATTTGCTAGCATATTATTAAAATAAGCTTTTTTTTTAATTTTAACATTTTTTACAAATATATTAAAATAATTTTCTGTTTTTGCACCCTTTACAGCACCTTATCTCGGAACGAAAACGAAATATTTATAAAATGTGTGTATATAATCAATAATAATATATTAAAATAAATGAAATCATTCTGTATATTATGTATAATATTATTATGTATAAGCTTTCAAACAGTTTTTTTTTGAAATACATATATTAAGTATGTATATGTATAACTCATTACAATCATTAAATATACAAATTATTCTTTTAATTCCCAACGACAATTAACAATGATATTAAATTTTATTTTCGTAAATTGAGATTATTTTGCTGCTGCTGCCACTATTTATATATAAAATGTGCTTTTATATACCAATTTATATGTTCATAGATTTTTTTATTATTATTGTTTTTGTATTTTCAAATAAAAACAAAACCAATGGTCAATTAATTCCATTTTATTTTGATTTTTGTTATTATTTATTTAATGAATATATTTATATATTGCAAGCATAGCATTATTTCTACATATAAGCGCCTACAATATATAATAATCATTGATACGAGTATTTGAACCCATATAATTATGTATAAGCCTGAATATTATCAATATAATTACAATATAGCTACTATCCAAAACAAAATGAAGATATTTTAAAATATCCAGTTTTGAATAATTATTAATTCTTCAAATAAAAAAAAAAAACTCCGAAACTGACACAATAAATGGCTCAGTTTTCATTTAGTTTTACAAAAATTCTACACCAAAAATGAAAAAGTATAATAAATTGTGAAAAAGCTGAACATCTTTCTTGTACCATAAGTACCATAAATTTTAATTGCAATATAGAGTAGAAAAACAGTACGTTCAAATTTTAAAATACTATCATATTAATACTAGGAAGTGCGCTATATTATAATTTGAAAACTGTTTCTCTCTGTATTTTTAATTTAACATAACAGTTTCTGTGTTTGAATTTTACTTTCAAAAACGGGGAAAATAACGCCTTTAGTTATTTGGTTGTAAACAAAGTATCATATTGCTTACACATTTCGTTTGATGAGTATAAAATGATGTTCTATAGTTCCATTAAACATAATTCAAGGACAATATTGTAAATAACTAAATTTTTATTAAATCAAACAAGATCAGTGAACAAAGTTTGATATTGTTAACCCTGACTAAGAAATGTAACAAAACTTTGAATAATTTTATAAAATAAATTTCAACAAAATGGAGAAATTTCAGAGAAAGAATAAGTTAAATGCTTGTTACAAATTAACAAATACTTTAGAATACTTTATTCAAAAAAAATTTAATTGTGTAAAAAGATTTTAAATATTACATTTAATTTATTAAAATTTTAGCCATTCCGGCTTTCAAAGTAATAGTTTTTAATCTGCATATAAGAAGAATATTTAATTTATATTTTACCGATGCTCAAATTTTGATAATTCTGAATAGACAAGTTTAATGAGAAATATCGCAATATATTAAAATACTTCAACAATATTTATTGTTAAAAGTATTTTATATTAGAAGTACCAAAAAGGTTCTACAAAAGAGACTAAAAATACAACCAAGTTGTACAAGCTTCAAGCTAATGTTTATGTTTTCTACATTAACGGAATTTTTCATGATATCTTATTTTTGCTTTTAGATATCAAAATATGTGCATAATTGAACAATGATCGTAATATATTTTTTTAAATTATAATATTATATAGCTATTGAAAATAATAAAATATATAGCTAATGTTAAAATTTATTATAAAAAAAAATTATCCATAAAGTATGCAATATTTTTTTTATTGTTCGTTTTTTTGCCTGAAATTTCATATTAGCATATTATTATTATTTAAATGAATGAAAAGAGAATTAAATTATGCAAAATATTGAAATAATAATAATAATGATAATAATTATGACATGAAACAATATGATAAATATAATGATACATTATACTATATGTATGTATATTTTATTAGTAGAAATTTTAAAGCAAATATGTATATGTTCATTTTTAATAAAAATATTAGTAAAAATAATAATTATGTAATATAAAAACAAATTATTACTTTACCTTTTAATTATATCTGAAATATTTTTTATTAATAAAAAAAAATTTACTTTAATTTATTATTCATATACACAATTTTCCTTTTTTTTTGTGATTTTATTTTTTTTCATTAATTTATTTAATTTTATAAAGAATTTTACTTGTTAGTTTAAATCTAATTTTTTTTCTCTTTTTTTTCACAAATAAAATTATTTTTAATTGAATAATTTTGGAAATATTTATTTTTTTGCTCTGTTGAATTTATTATTATGAATTTTTTTTTAAAATTATCAAAATTATAAATTTTATTGCTGTAGGGCAAATTTAAAAATGAGCGAATAAAAAAAAAACAAAAATGTGTCATCAATTCAATTATTAATATTTTTAATATTATTCTATATATTAAATAATATTATTATTATTATTATTATTAATTGATATTTTTATGTAATTATTCATATTTTTATGCACTTTAATTTTTTCCAATTTTAATTTCTCATTTTTTTTCGAATTTTTATAAATTTTTTATTGGTAAAAATTTATTAACAATTTTTGTTGTTGTTGTTGGTGCAAAATTTATTTTACAAAAAATATGATTTCAATTATAAATATTTTATTTTTATTAATTTTATTATTTTTATTTGGAAAAGAATTTTAATTAAATATCTTTTTTTTAATGTTGTATTTTTCCTTTTTTTTTGCAAATTTATGTGCATATGTATATGTACATATATTATATTTAGATAAGTTTATAATAGCAAATTTTTTTTCCTATATTATCTTATGTGAGTTTTAAATTTTTATGTAATTTTTTTATTCTTTTTTGTTATTTTTACTTAATACGAATTTAAATCAAAATTTTTATCAATTTATGTGCCACAAATTTAATTAATCTCTAGGTATATAGCATTTAAAATGTATCGGCGTATATGTATGTACAAACACGAACAATATATTTATAGTATTATTTAGATATATTTATGTATGTACATATATTATAAATTTATGACATAAAATTTTTTTCTTTATTATTATATATTTATACTAATATTATATACATTGAACTTTTTTATTTTACAATCATATAGATAATTTTAAAAAGAATAACACTTTATTTTGTTTTTTTTTTTTATTAGTTAGGAGTATAATATTATATAGAAGCGGTTTTCTATCAATTAAATGTAAGTATATATAATTATATATTAAATTATAATACGCATATATTTTTTATTTATATATGTAATATTTATTTATAAATCTAATATTTCAAATTATTAAAATATTTTCGATTTTTGCAAAATTCACTGACAATTTTAATATTTTTTTTTCTTTTTTTCTATAATTATACTTTATAATATACGAATTATAAGTATTTATTTAAAATTATTTAAATAATACACTGTATTATATAACAGTGTAGAAATTTCACACTTATAATTTTCAATTCTAAAAATAAAAAATGAAATAACAGAAAATCACAAAAAAAAGCAATACAAACATATGGTTTATCAAACATTTGTATATATAAACATTAGAACAAGTTATATACATATATGTACATATTTATTTATAAATAAAGATAAAATAACTAAAATAACATTAATTTAAAATTTAAATTAAAAAATTAAAAAAAAAATGCATTTAAAAAAATCTTCTATTCTTAATTTTTTTTAAATAAATGAGGCATGTGTGTTCCCTATATTATTTTAAATTGATTCTCAAGTTGTTTCAATAATACAGGAAATTCTTGTATCTATCGATTCTAATTATATTTAATGAAAATTTGAATAGCCTACTGGTAAAATTAAACAATATTAAACAATAACTTAGAATATCTTAGAATTGAATATATTATTTAATATAAATGAAAATATCTTAAATATTAGAATATAGTTATCTTAATTATTATAATTTGGATTTGAATCAATATTTAACACTCATCAGTGAAATTTTGAAGCTCATTAGTGAAAAAATTATTTAAATAATATTATGAAAGAACAGGAGCATTAAAAGTTTAATGATATTCACTACTTATTAAAAATGTCATCGAAAACTTGAAATGATTTTGGAAGCTACTTTGGTTAACTAATTCAATAGTCTATTTATTCTTTCGTTTTAACCTAATAAATTACTAAAATGAAATTACAATTCACAAAATAAAATGTTTCAAAAAAAACTTCTAAATCTCTATGAAATTTGACTTCCTTAATTCCATTTGTATGCTAAAACCTTTCAACTTGAAGAAGAAAAAAATATCAAGATTACTCAAGTAATAGATTGATTTTACATACCTGAATTAATCAGGTAAAAATTATTAAATAACTGTTATTTCAAATTTTAATCCCTGGATTTTCATCTTCAAATGTTTTTATTAGATTTTTCTGATAAAAATAAATACTTTGAATTTCAATATAATTTTGATATTTTGATGTGTAAATGTTTTTTAATACTAAAGTTATACAATGTGTAAAGTAAAAATAAAACACTTTATAAAAAACAGAAAAACATTTTAAGATGAAAAGTAAACGTATTTATGTGTGTACTTATGTACAATGTATAACATACATAAAATATTTTTTCATTGTAAAAATAAGTAACCGCAAAGATAAAAAAAAAAAAAATGAAAAAAGAAAATAAAGTATTATATTTAAGGAGTTTGAGGAAAATTAAAATGAAAAAAAATGAAAAATTTAACCCAAATTCGTGAATAGAAGGAAAATGAAATAAAAAAGGATTTTTTTTTAAATTTTTCTTTTTTTTTGACAATTTTGTATTGATTTAAAAAAAAATAATTTTTTTTTTCATAATATTAAAAAATTTTTCTTATTTTTTACGTTTTTTAATATTAATTTTTTTTTATTTTACACAAAATTTAATGTCACTCACAAAATTCAGTTATCAATGAATTTTATTGTAAAATTTCTAAATTTTAAAATATTTCCATTGATAAATATTAGATAATTATCAAATATTTTCAATATTAAAAAGACGAAATATATTTATTCTTCTTTTATTCTCATTTAATTTTTATTTATGAAGGAAAACAAAAAATAAAAATTCTATCAATAAACGCGAACCGTACTGAACGAATGTCCCTGTACAACTGAATGATAAAAAATTTTAAGTATATTCTCATCAAAAAATTTCTTTTCATAAACAGCAGAGAAGAAAAAAAGTAAAATAGAAATTTTTTTTTTCGTAAAACGTCACACTTATACAGATATACAAAAGGGAAAATTTTAAGAAAAGAAATACAAAAAAAAAAAAAAAATCAAAAAAATATAACTTAAAAATTGGTCACGAAATTTTCCTTTACTCGATTAAAACGAACAGATTTTGTTTTTCGTTGAAACTTTAAGATTTTTCCTCATATTTTCCAAAATTTTCTCTACATTTTTTTTAGTTTACTTTTGTTTTTGTTTGTTTTTTTTTTTCTTTTTATTTCAATTTAAGTTTTCTTCACTATCTTGCTATGAATATTCTAATAAAGGACTCGTAAATTGTACTAATACAATAATATACAATATACGTATAACAATATGTATCCTTATTTCTCATTCATACATACACTTCACAAGTTCGTAATGTTGAATTGTCTTTTTGTTTTTCAAAAAAAAAAACATTCCGAAATGAAACATAAATTTATAGAAACATTATGTTTATTAATAAATTGAGATAAAATTTACTCAATTCACAATTGTTCACAGTTACTCACGAAGTTTAAAAAAAATGAAATTTTATAATTGTTGCAGATTTTTACGATTTTAACCGAAACTCAAAACATTCAAGAAACATAAATACATTTTAAGAGGAGAAAAAACACACAATAACGAAAATCAAATCAACGAGCTATTATGATGATGAGAAAATCTTATATAGAATACAGATTCAATAGACAAAATAAAAAAAAAATTCTCTATTAAAGTAATTTTTCTCTCGAATTTTTAACTCTCAAAAATTATTTTCAGTAAATTTACAGACCAGTCGACTACATTCATAAAAAATAATTTTTTTTTTTTGTTTTTACAAAATAAAATTCTCTTGTTTCTCTCTGAGATGCTGCGTTTAAAATACCATACGACAATAACAACTAGTAGCACGTCAACATCAATTGAAAAATAAATTGTAGGTACAAAATCTGTAAAATCTGCAAAATATAATTACAATATATTAGTTGTGTTGTAGAAAAAAGCTTTGAGTAAAAAATGTCAAAGCTCTTTTTGTTTTGTTCACACTTAATTTTCTTCTAAGGAACAAAATGGAATATGAAACACAGAACTTTAATTGATGAATATTATATTCAAAAGGTTTTCTTCTTTAACTGTAATTTTGGTTTTTTTTTTTATTTTGTGTGATTTTACAATAAAATATTTCTGTAAACAGAAAACAATAACAAGGAAAAAAAAATAAAAGTACTTTAATTGTGTCAATTCTGCAAAATGTCCTGCTTTTTTTCTTTGTTTTTCATTTTTGTTTTCTTTATTTTTCTTTTTTATTTTGTCGCTATTTGTATTTTCTATTTTTGTTATTATTTTTATAAAATATAAAAGGATGCTGTTAGGAACAGTTTTTCGTTTTGTTCGATTAAATACATAATAAATGTGTATTCCTTTATTGGTGTATACGAGCGTGTGTGTGTGCATGGACTTAAAGTTAGTTATATTTTCTTCTTCGTATTTTGTTGTTTATTTTCCTCATTTTTTTCTATTTTATTATTTTTGTGGGTTTTTTTTTCTGTTTCCTTTGTGTAAGGTAAGTAAACAATATATAAATGGTGAAAAAATCACTTCATTTGTGTTTTCATTTCATTGCAAGAATCGTTTTTCCGAAACTTTTTCCATAATATTGATAAGGTGGGGTTGAGTTTCATATATTTTTATTCTCTGTTGCGTCCTTTTTTTTTTCAATTAATTCCGGAATAAATTGTATAATTGAAAAATATTATGTTTTAGTCGCTTCGTTTATATAAAGTAAAGAAATAAAATAACAAGTAAATGGTTTATTTAGTTAAAGTGTGATATTATTTTTGCCCAAAGCGAATCATTAATAAATTAATATTATATACCTTGTTTTTAAATCATTGATTATTGGGTTTCCTTGTTTGAATTTTCATGTGTTAATAGTGTATAAATTTTGGAAATATAAATGAATCCAAGAAAATGATGCATAATTTTTTATTCGTCTAGTTTAATAAAAGCCGTGCTTCAAAAAACAACCACTAAATTACGAGTATATTATAAACTGCATGTCATGTACTTAACAAATTTAAAACGTTGAACTTAAGTTTCTGAAGAATTATTTGTCTATATTTCAAGATAATTTTGAGAAATGCCTTAAAAATTTAAAATATTATTTTTTTTTACAAAAAGTTCAGTTTTATTTACAAAAACTATTGTTCTCTATAATAGGCAGTAAAATTAATCTTAAAAATAGAATAGGAATCAAAATATCCTAGAGATAGGTTAATCAATTTTACTATATCAACCTTATTCTACATTGTCAGTTGTTGTTGGTCTTTTTTTGCCTTTTTATTATGTTTTTTTGTAAAATTAGTTGTATTTTTCTACTTCGTGTTATTTTCGTACTTATTAATAACAAATTGTAACAATAAAATATGTACATACATACATATAAGCATTGTATGTATGTAAGTAATTAAATTAATGCGAAAAAAATAAATATTTATTTCTCTATAGATATTTATGCATTAAAAGTTTTAGTTTGTCATAATGTAATGGAACAAAATATAGGAAAAAAGGGTAAAACATCTGATAACATATTTAACTGAGACAAACAAAAGAGAAAAAATTGTACCATTTACAAAATAAATGAAGAAAACAATTCTTCATTATAATTATTCGATTTTGTTACATTTAATTTTTTTTTCATAATATTTAAGTATATTATTAGGTTTTTAAGCGTATATATAACTTTAAAAATGAAATAAGAAAAAAAAGGTTTTTAATAAAAGTTTTGTATAATTTAAAAATTAAAAAAAAAGTGTGTGTAAGAAATATTTGAAGAATCTATTA